ATCTTAAAGGTCTTTTCCAACCTAGACGATTCTATGATTATTCTATGATTCTATGTTTTAGTTGTTGCTAAATAGTGCTTACACTGGTCAAGTAGTTTTCAGCTTCCCATGCTCTGCCAGTGAGAAGCTGGGAGGGGGCACAGCCAGGACAGCTGACCCAAACTGGCCAAAGGGCTATTCCATACCATGTGACATCATGCTCAGTATAGAAACTGGGGGCAGTGATCCCTGCTCAAGGACTGGCGGGGCATCGGTGGGGAGCAATTGCATTGTGCATCACTTGCTTTGTATAGTATTATCACTATTATTATTATATTGTTATTATTACTACTATGGTTTTACTTTATTTCAATTATTAGACTTTTCTTATCTCAACCCATAAGTTTTCTCACTTTTATTCTTCCGATTCTCTCCCCCATCCCACCAGCGCAGGAGGAGTGAGCGAGCAGCTGTGTGGTGCTTGGCTAGGGTTAAACTATGACAGTTCATTTACTTCTTCATTGCTGTGTCAGGCCAAAAGCTTTCTTTTTATTTTTTTAATTAAAAAAAAAATCTCAGTGAAAGATTAATTTTTAGTCAAGAAATCTTCATTGCACAATATTGCCATTTTCTTAGTGAAGCTTTACAGTCTTTTGTGAGAGATGATGTAGACATTGCCTTGCATTAGAGTGCACAACAGAGATGTTAATCATGTTGCTGTCATATGAGCTTGGGAATGAGGGAGTGGCTTTTACCAATGAATGTCCTTTATTTTGTACATTCTTACGCCACTCATAAGCAAAACCAAAATTATTTTAGATTATGTAGTTAATGTTACCCAAGGCTTTTTTCTCCTCACAGCTGTTAATACAAAACCGTGCAGGAAGCTTCTGTTACACCTCATCTTCCAGGAAAAACTTTTAAAAATCCTTTTCTTTCTTGTTCTGCCTTCATTTGCTTGAATTTCATCATTCTGTTCCTTGGATTTCAGAGTGTAATTTTACAGGTTACAGCCTGTTTTTCAAAATGCTTTTATTAGTTATGTCTCTGCAAAAGCATAATGTTGATATCATTTAATCTGCATAGAACAGAAGCACTGCAACATAGCACAGAAAAAAAAAAATAACATTGCAAGTATAAATTACAGCCAAAAGAAAGTGTAGTACAAAAAGTATGGATGAATTTTCAGAGCAGAGAGCAAATGTGTAAATCATTAACGGAGTTCTAGTTTGACATACATCTGAAAGAGTGCGTGGCCTTCAGAGCAGGCTTGGCTTTGGAAAGGCAGCTTATTCTTGAACTGAGAAAATCTGGATATAAAAGTACCTGGAAAGAAAGACCTGGGAGTACTGGCCACCTGGCCAAATCTCTGAGGAGGACATGAGGATTTTTGATGTTGTCATGGCTGATCTGAGCAGGGCATCATGATAAAAATATCTGATATTCCTTTCTGTGTTGTTATTTCTGCTAGTGCTTTTGTAAGAAATTCCACACTGTATTGTATGAATAGCCTAAGAAAACGAGAGTAACCAAGATCCTCCTCACATTATTTTTCACAAGTTCAACAACGTATTCATGAGTATTACGTGAATGCATTGTCCAGCAAGTAGATTTTTTTTTTTAATTTTTAATTAAAGAAACATGTATTTCTAGAGGAATGCAAAACTGTCTGTATATTGAGCTCTTCCTTTCTTAGGCACTTGATAGTGTGGCTGTAGCTGGGCAGAACTTTAGTAGAGGCAGCCAAGACAGAGTTGTTTGTTTGAATTACAGGAGACTCTGATGGAGAGCTCACTGTAGACACAACGTAGTTGATAACTAAGCTACTCATGAATTAATTTAGGTAGTGGCACAAAACCATAATAAGGACAAGCCATTTTCAAAATATGAGAACACAATATTCAGTCTAAGGAGCTCAATCTTTAAGACATGCAGAAATAATTCAAATGTTTCATTCTTTCAAAGTGATCGCAATGAACAAAACATTAAAACACTTCACAAGGGGGTTTCCTCAGAGAAGACAGGTGTTGCAACAGCTTGGCCCAGAAAGAGAAGTGAGTAAGAACCTATAGAAATAGTCCTTCCTCTCCCAGGAGTCACCACAGGTGGCAAAAGAGAACTGAGTTAATTTAGTGTGGGAGAAATGTAGTCTGCAAAAATATCTGTTACTTAACTGCAAAAATAGATCCCTTTCAAGACCAGTTCTATAAGGAAAGGATTTGTGTATGCCTGACCCATGAAAGGAAAATACTTTCTTCTAATAGATAAAATTATTTGAAGTGTGAATTGTCATAGGTTGTGTAAAAACGTTGAATGGAAAATAACGTGAAACTGAATTCCATTCTTTCTTCTCTTCCACCATTCTAATACATAGCAATCATTGGGCCACCTGATGTAAAAGTGAAGTCTGAGTCTGGGTCCCTGCATGTGGATTTCATAGGCCCTTTTGCTGAACACCAACAGGACAAGTGGTCTTTAAAGCAATATTACGGCTCGTGGAATTACAGAATACTGTACTGGAAGAAAGGCAGCAATACAGAGGTAACTTCTGCTTCCTGCATGTTGTGACTCCATGACTTTGATATATGCTTTTCTTGGTAAAATACCGTACTGATGAAGTTCTGAAAGCTAACCGTACTGAAGTAAAAATGTATCTCTACTAATTACAGCGTAATAAAGTCTAGTCACTACAACTGGTATTCAGAGCAAATGGCAGATAGCTGTGTGGTTAAACAGTAGCACGCATGTAATTTGCTCTTTCCATGATTAGAAATAACTGCTACATTGTAAAAGTTTATTCCCTTGGTTTAATGATGATTTATTTGTGATGCAGTGTGCGCCACCAAATCTCTGTATTTCACACATACAACCAAGGGTAAACTTAGAAGCTGTAACATCAGCAGTATCTGTGATCACGGCAATAAGCTGACTTAGATTGAAAGCTCATGTCATTCAAGTATTTGTGCTCTTCATGGGACTCTGGGCTTTGAATACCACCATGGCTGGGGCCTCGTATGTTAACTGTGGTCACCTTCGTGTCTTCAATTTCTGTCAGTTGTAATTTGCTTTCTTCCTCTCATGGACAGCCTCTTCCACAGACAGATCTGTTACTCAGCTCAGATGGCTTCTTCATACAAAATGCATGGAGAAAGATCATAAATAATATATTAATTATAGGGTCATGGTTTCTATTACAGGCAAAAAGGAAGCCCTGTACTGGAAGAGATCAGTCACGGTATAATTAGTGCTTTGTATATCAGTACAATTTTCATATAATAGGACTCCAGTACATATAATTCTGATTTGTATTTGTTACCCTGCAAAATTCTTTGGCATTCAATTCCAGAAAATGAGGGATAATCATTTCCCAAAAGCCAGACTGGTTTTCAGTTCCCAAACTACAAGAAATAAAGGTATTTATATCAGAAATAGTGCAGCCAGCAGGACTAGGGAAGTGATCGTCCCCCTGTACTCGGTGCTGGTGAGGCCGCACCTGGAATACTGTGTCCAGTTTTGGGCCCCTCACTACAAGAAAGACATTGAGGTGCTGGAGCGTGTTCAGAGAAGGGCAGCAAAGCTGGTGAAGGGTCTGGAGCACAGGCCTTATGAGGAGCGGCTGAGGGAACTGGGATTGTATAGCCTAGAGAAGAGGAGGCTGAGGGGAGACCTTATCACTCTCTACAAGTACCCAAAAGGAGGTTGTACTGAGGTGGGTGTTGGTCTCTTCTGCCAAGTTACCAGCAATAGGACGAGAGGAAAAAGCCTCAAGTTGTGCTGGCGAGGTTTAGGCTGGAAATTAGGAAAAATTTCCTTACAGAAAGGGTTGTCAAGCACTGGAGCAGGCTGCTCAGGGAAGTGGTTGAGTCACCACCCCTGAAGGTATTTAAAAGACGTGTAGATGTGGCGCTTAGGGACATGGTTTAGTGGTGGACTTGGCGGTGTTAGGTTTATGGTTGGACTTGATGATCTTAAAGGTCTTTTCCAACTTAAACGATTCTATGATTCTGTAAATTTCCATAGGAATCAAAGAAGCAAAAGGCATAGACTGTGTAACTTCATAGGTTGTTTTTTGAAGTGGATGCTTGTTCAAAATGTTGAAGCCTAGCTATACAGTCTTCTCATCCCTGAGAAAGGATCTGTTACTACGTAATGGGGCACATTGTAGGGATTCCTGTACTCTGCAGGGACCATATAGTTACAGGGACATAACGAATCATGCCTCTAAACAGCAAGTTGCATCTGCTGTCAGTCACCTAATAGCTTCCACAAGCCCTTTTCTTTCTCTTTTATTTTGTCTAGATCATCTATCCTACTTGCTCCACCTCAAATTAAATTATGTTTGTCTGTGGCAGCACTCTCGGTTGATCTCATTTTGTTAGACAGTTGTTTCTCTCTGCATGCAGATCTCGTTTATCATGACTCTGTAGGCCTCTCTAGCCTAAAACTTCATTAATGCTGCTAGAAGCAGCTAGAAGGTCAGTGGTGTGAATGGTCTTGTGCTCTAACCCCAGGTGAAATCAATGTAGAGTTACCAGTTATGTGATATAGGCAGGGCATTTAATTCTGCCTTTAAAAGCTTTATTCACACTGCAGCTATAACCACTAGGATTTGTCCTACTAAATGTAATTTTAATTACTTAGCTAGTCCATTCACTGGACTCATGCTTTTCAAATTTTTTGTATTCTTCTCTGTTATTAGGTAACTCACATAGATACTAAACATAACTCTGAAATATTATCTCAGCTGGAGCCATGGACGATATATTGTATTCAAGTGCAAGCAGTTATCCCTGAGTGGAACAAAACAGGGGAACTGAGCAGAGAGCTTTGTGAGCAGACAACCCACAATGGTAATACTTGGTGCATCACAATGGGACACGCACTGTAGGGAACTGGGAAATGTGTATGTTACACCAGTATGTGTGACTGTAAATGTCTAAATATGATGGCTTGTAAGCTTGCTTTATTAAGAACTTCCTGAGCGTATTCAGACTGAAAATTTAAGAGGTATTTTGCATTTGGAAACAAAGACTTATGTTTGCAGTTACAGTTTTGTAATAGTTGTGGGGTTTTTTTTAATTCCATAGGGAAAGTGATAATTTGAAAAGAATATATTCAGAAATTAATAATCACAGTTCAATTTTCTTTTTCTTCTCTCTTGCAGGTGTCACTCCTGTGTGGATAATTGTGACCGTTCTTATAGGATCAATGTTGGCTGTTGTAATATGTGTTCCTGTTTGTTTCTTTTCCTTTTTGTATCTATATCGACTCACCAAACATGTTTTCTGCCCTTCATATATTTTCCCACAACACTTGAAAGAGGTTTGTTTTCTACCTACCACAATTAAAGTCAGCCTTTTCAGCAGAACCGCCAGCCTATCAAAGGCTCTCTGTGCCAAAACCTTTAGAGCTTCTTTTATTTTGCCTTCTTTCATCTGCACCTGATTGTTAGCCATCTGTAAAGCACCGACTATTCTGAGGGGGTTTTAGACTATAAGGAGCAATGCTGGTTATCTGTTGTTAGATAATTGTGGTGTATGGTAAAACTCGCTCTTCTGCCAAACATAAATAGCCATTCAAATAAGTGTGAATGATGAAGTCATGAACTTTGGAAGAAGCTGACAAAGGAAGGAAGCTTCATCTCAAAGTGTGAGAAAAGGCAGTGAAAAGTTGGTTCATTTAATATTTGAATTTTGGCATGATAAGGTCATAGATTTTGCATGAATGTTACCTCAGTTATTGCATCATGTTCTGTGGCGCTGCGCAGACGTAAGTAAGCAGCAGTGAAATTAGACTTCCTCTTGAAGTATACTGATGTATAAGAAACTCTAAAATACTGTCATTCTGAATTGTTCTGCGCAGAATGGTCCAAAATATTTAAAAGCTGAACAACTTAAAAACTTGGCATAGACTTTTAATCCTAAAGCAACTGCCTAATTTGTAATATGAAGCTTTATATGGCTTAGAAACAGGATGTTTTCTTTCATTTTAAAGTGAGAGAATAACAGGTGTTAACCTTCAGTTCCTCTTTTTAGATAGTGACCAACTGAGTTATCTGTCTCCACTATCCACATTTTAGACTTAAAATTGCACATTTGTTCTCCTGAAGCAAAGTTCTTTCGTGAATATAATAATGAGCTTTAACTTAAGTACCGAATGGAGTGAAATCTGAAAATTCAAGATGAAATGAGAGCAATGAATGTTAGCCATTACTGTCGGGGAATACTGCTGACCCTGTTACCCATATAGCAACTTAAAAAGGCTGTATCAGAGTCTCCTCCAAGAAACAAGGCTATACAGAGTGTTACGTAGGCTGAAGTTAGCAACCTATAATATTCCGAGTTTCCTGCAGTTTCTCCGGGTCTTTCATTTTGACTCATTTAGAGTTCAGCAGACTAAGGCTGTGCAGCCAACTTAGCAATTGTCTTGTGCTTTAAGTTGAGCACACACTCAGCACATGGTAGTTTGCTGAACCTGGAGCTCAGCTGTTAGGAAGGTAGAATTGCTCTGATCAATACAGGGTATGGTCAAATTTCATTTTGCTCGCAGGTTTCTCACAATAAAGGGAGAATTTTCATTTTGTGCTCGTGGTTTTTAGTGGTTAATCACAGTAATCAAAGGTCAGTCATGCTTACCTAAAATGACATTTATCAAAGGCTGTGGTTTCACTACATGAGCATTTGAGATTGCGGGTTACATTTCAAATCACAGTTTGCTAAAAAAGGTCTAATAGTAATAATATTAGCATTTATTTTTGTAATTACAGTGGACAGGACTCCTGATAGAGCCAGCTTGTTTCTTTTGTTAAATGCACTAAAGTAGTAGACAGGGGTCAGGTCACAAGAACAAAAAGGAGTTGTACTCCTCCAGCCACTACCAATAAAATGAACTGCCACTTCAGCTGCCAAAATGAGTGGTTGACGTGTTATTACTGTGTTGAGTAGGTGTGCTGTTCTTGTGTTGACATTCAAAATACAGTCATGACATCCTGCAAAGCCCATGTTGATTCTTGAGGCCGGTTCCATCTTATTAATAGAACAGGGAGTGGGACGAAGTTGTGATATTTCAATGCTAAAATTAAGTCATCTTTCTCACTGAACTGCATAGCCCCACAAATCTCCCTCCCTCTCCTTTACTTGACTAAATGGTTATGGTTTATGTTGACATTCAAAGCATCATTATTTGATGTCTGAGCAGACAGGTCTCTGAGGTGGCAGGAACAATTCCCATCTTTTGGAGCTGTTTGACAAATCTCTCTGCAAACTCCTTCACATACAGTCAAGTCACCTTTTCTAGTTTTTGTTCCCAAACAAAACCTAGGTATTTTATTTTTTTTAAGCAAGTTTATGTTCCAAAGAAGTCACTAAGCCCTGGGGTATCTTCTTGCAAATAAAGACACTTCCAACTTGCTTCCAAGCCTTGTGCAGGATGTTAAAGCAAGCAGAGAGGTTATTACATTGTTACTACTCTGGGACTTCTAAGGATTGAGAAAGCCAATTGACATGTGGGAAACAATATAAAACATGTTTCTAAGCAAACAGGATAGTATGACTGGGACTGGTGCAGCCTAATCCTCATTTCCTCTTTCCTTCACAGTTTTTGAGCAAGCCTCCCAGTGGTTCACAGTTTTTTTCTCCGCTCCCAGAAGAGGAACATCTTTTTTATGACAAGCTAACTGTCATTTCAGAAGAATCCAAAAATCAAAGCGATGAGACAGGGGATGAGGCCAGCAAGACCACAGAGCACCTTCAGGACTCTGAACATGAACATTGTGATTCAGGAATAGTAACAGCTTCAGAAAAGGACTAAATGCACTCCTCATGCTTCACTCGGACCAAAGGAAAAGCAAGTGGGCTGTTGAGTTTATCTTCTAATTGTTGCATTCTTAAGACAGTAAAAATTTGTATATGAAGATGTTCACGGACTTTCGACAGAATCGTATTATTTTTTTAAAGTACAAGAAACTTGACTATGCGGAATTAAATGATACGTAATTTTTGCCACTGTTTGTAGTGGCTTGCTGTTAAGTTGTAACAACACCTAGGACTGTATTATGGCATTATATTTTTGCTTTTTAAATTATATATAAAAAAATACCAGTTAATTTAACTTTGAACTATTTATTACGAAAGCTAATCAAAATGGCGTATTGTCTAAGGTTTGTAAAAGAAAATCACATTTTGTAAAGAAAGACCTGATCTGACTTTTTTTTAGGAGAAATTGTGTGGATTTCTTAAGGATATTCCTAGTGGCATAATCTTTCTATTGACTATTTTTTTACCTGATGCAAAATTGTGATGTTATTATGATGGTATGAACTTGGTATGAATAAAGCGAACACAAACATTCAGTGTGTTTTGCATTGCAAAATTAGTTAGCGATAGGACGAGAGGAAATGGGCTTAAGCTGCGCCAGGGGAGGTTTAGGTTGGAAATTAGGAAAAATTTCTTTACGGAAAGGGTGGTCAAGAATTGGAACAGGCTGCCCAGAGAGGTGGTGGAGTCACCATCCCTGGAAGTGTTCAAAAAATGGGTAGATGTGGCACTTCGGGACATGGTTTAGTCTAGTCTACCCTTGATTGGTTTAGTGTGGACTTGGTAGTGTAGGTTAATGGTTGGACTGGATGATCTTAAAGGTCTTTTCCAACCTAAACAATTCTATGATTACATCAAAATGAGACTGAAAAATTAAATTGTCAGCAAAAGTATCTTGCCACAAGTGAGGTTTTGTGTAAATCATGACTTGATGGGGGAATTGCAAAATTTTTGGATATGGTTTTGAGGTTTGTTAATTAATGCATAAATATTCACTTCTTGGGAACGTTTGCAGGAAGAAAACATAAGGAGAAGAGACATTGATTCTTTGTACCACCCAGCTATATGTAATCTGCACACGTTTTTTCTGCACTTTTAAATTTTTATCATATTTTGGTTTAATGTGGAATATGGAAAAAATGGGGAAGCGGTTTCATTTTGGTTTTTTTAAGGCCTTTTGTATCACTGGTGCTTTTCTTCACCTCTCTTCCTCCACACATAGAAGGAACTTTATGTAAAATTTCAGGCACATGATACAAAGCGCAAATACAGAGCAGCGCAACAAGAATGGCAAGAATTCACAGCACTATGAAAAGGGAAAGCCCGGCTCATTTTTCACTTCTGACTTCTCACCTCTGACTTATTTTGTTCATCTCATTTCGTATTAATCTAAGACCCAGCTAAGTCATTCATGTCTACAGCTTTTACTCACACGTTGCCAAGCAGCTATTCCTGGGGATTTCGTTTTTTTCCAGTGTTCTGTTATTTTGTGGGCTAAGACCCAGTAAATCAGTTACAGGTAGATAAAAGGACTAAGTCACAAGGGGTGATGTATTCAGAAATTCTAATTCTAGCCCCAGAAGGCTGATCCCTCAGGCTGTCCCAAAACAGTAGCTCCTTCAGAAGGCAACTGCCTGGGATCCTTCTCTGGAAGAGCATCTCTTTCCTTGATGACTACAAAAAAATATATGCTACTTTTTCCTCTTAGGCAAGGTGAGTCCATACAAATACCTCAGACATCTTGTATTCCTTCTTTCTGCTCTGCAGGGAAATCAGGAATCCAGTTGTGACTGGCACTGAGGCCGGGCATGGCTAAGGTCAAATATCGCAGTGCTGCTTGAGAGGAATTAAAGCTGACTTACTTTCAAAGGTCAGCCTTTCCTAAAAGCTCCTAAAAACAGTCCAGATTTTTTTTCTTCAGACTGACCTGCAGTTTGGTTTGCTTCAGAAGTCTTCCTGTTCCAAACTGAGTCCTCGCAGGAAAGCATTTGTAGGTGAGAGCCCTCTTCTTCAGCCACAAGCGCCACAGCTTCACTGGGATGTGTAAAATGAGCCAACAGGCCTGGGGACAAGGTGCAGCCTCTGGCTGTACCCAAATGGGCTGCATGGCCCCACAGGTACCCCAGGCAGTACATGGCACCTAGTGCCTCTTCAGAGAAGCAGTCATTTAGAGAAGAGCTGATCTTGAGCTAAGCTTGCGGAGAGTACGATGAAAATGAATCAATAAAATAGGTGACCTTCTAACTGTGTTATGATTTAAACTGCAAAGTACAGAAGTATGCTGCTAACTTTGGCAGGATGATTAGGGAATAGAGAAGTGGGGAAAACGAAGGGAGAGCAGTCTAGGCTTGTGGTGAACAAAACAGTACAGAAGAGGGCAATAAGGTAAGACAGTAAGAGAAGGAACAGGAGTTTAGCAGGTTCCAGTCAAGGGACTGGAGTGAGCATTTCAGTGGGAAAGGGAACACCGGAGCCCATGGCCAACCGGGGGACTAGGGATGTGATTGCCCACCAGCTCCGCATTTTTCTTTTAGCTCTCCATATTGGTAATTTCGGCATCGTCCCTCCCCAGCAGGTCCTGGAGGCATCAGGGAAGGCTGGCTGGCTGGCTGCAGAGCACAAACCCACATCTGCTGGCTGCCCAGCCAGAACGAGTCCCACTGAACAGCATAGCCAGAAAGGCTTTCAGAAACTTTAACTCTACATCCATGACAAGTGATAGAAAAAGCTTTTAAATAGATTCTTAACCAGAAATACAGCATAAGAATTTGTGATATTAACTTACCTGTTTTTTTCTGAGACAGGTTGGGAAATAACCCATTATTACTTTGCAAAATGTTATTTTCTACTAATGATAGCTTATTGAATGAGTTGTATGGAGTGTCTGCAAATCAAGGCTCCTTCCCTTGACATTGCACTGTCATGAAAAAAAAAGGTGAAAATAACTGTTTTACAGAAAGAACTGTGAATAATCAACAGGCTTAGCTGACCATCTGCATGCACTATACTGGAAATTGCTCATTTGCTCTTCCTAAACAGAGTCCTTTCTTATTTCTTCCTTACAAATTGGATTTCCTTAAGTTAATTTTGCATGCTTTCAAGCAATTACCATAAAAGCTGAAGTCATGGAATGAAAATTATAACAAAAAGACAAATGAGAAACCACTGGGGAAATCTTACAGAGGAAATCCATCAACTCTGACATCGCGTCACTCAAATATTGTCTCTCATTTCTACTCCCTTCTCTTAGCTCCTGTTGTTGACATTACACTTTTTAAAACTAGACAGCAAGGTCCTCAGAGCAGGGACTTTCTTTTCTCATCTGTGTTACAAAGACGATGTAAATCACAACTGGAGCTTTGCACAGGGGTTAGATTTTCAGACATGCTGACGTAACAGTACAACCAGGCTCTGAAACTCACCCTAACCAAGCACAACTTGCTGATCATTATGAAATATTATCTATGAAGATTAAAGTTGTAGCTGTATTATAGTTAGGCATTTTGAAGATACCAGATAGGTCTCCACTGTAAAAAGGCTGTAAAAAGACTTGTTGACAGCAGGCTTTCCACATTCTTTCAGCCCAGTTGGTGCAAATTAAAATACCTCTGTCCCTCAAAACCTAATGCACTGTTCTGACTGGATGCCTGTGTTTTATTTACCTGAGTTTTCTCATGTGCTGAAAACAGTCAGCTATTCTCATGCCTAAAAAGATTTCGGATACACAGAATTGTATCTGTCCCAAACCCAACTTTGTCTTTTTAGATCTTAGGGTGGAGGGTCAAAAGAGAAGGGCAAGAGCTGAACCTAAGGGTCTTTCTAGAACTTCATGAGTGTGAGAATAAAATACTAATGTGGGAAATATCCTTTGAAATACACTTAATAAAAAGTCCTGCGCTGTAGTGCTTACCACCTTTATTGTTCCAGCTCTGAGCCTGACCTTGCTCATTGTATCCTGCTCCTTTCCAAAAGATGATAGACTGGTGCCTGCGGTGCAGTATGTCCAGAATACAGCAAAGGCGAGACCAGAAAGGTGCACAGAGCAGGCAAATGGTGTGTCATCTCAGCACCAGTATGGGAGCAGCTGTGAGAAACAAATGACGTCAGCTCTTGTCTTTGCACTGGAGCCTCTGCCCTCTGCAGAAACAGGGAGTGAGGCCTTCCGACTCTCATGCAGCAAGAGCCACTCTCACAACTCTGGAAGCCTCTCCTGGGAGCAAGACCTTGCTCACATTTTTCCTGAAGAGAAAGGGCAGTTTGCTAGAGCAACTAATAAAAAGATTGACTGGTGTCAGACATTGTCCTCCTTACCCTAGAGGACTCACTTCTCTGCCGGTGGCTGAAGCCTTTAACAAGACACCTGGACCATATGGCGAAATTCTTTACCCCTTAAGAAGCTGCAGAAGAAAAGGAGGTGGGGATTGCAAGGCAGAGGAGAAGCACCACCTGCAAGGCTTAAGTTAGCTGATCATGTCTGACCTCAAATTATAACTGTGGCCTGGACAACACCAGCAAAAGTCAGGGAGAAATTCCCACTATGGTACAAACCTGCAAACATGCAGAAACTGGTGTCAGAAACCAGTTAGGTAACACCCCACCATCAGATCTTTGCCGCAATAAAACCCACAGAGCAGGTGGGCAGATTGAAGTGCAAATTGGAATGAGAAGGGCTATTGAAATATTTTTGAAAACTTGGACTGCTATTATGTAGCTTTCCGGATGTGAAATACCCCGGTCCCAATGAGATTAAATTCTCAAAAGCAAATTGCTTGTAACACATGAAGGAAGAACTTGCATCACATAGATATGTACCCATTTACATTGGTGAAAGAGTTTACTTGTGGAAAATTCCTCAACTGTAGCCTTGCTATATAGTTCATGCCATGCAATTTGAAGAGGGGGAGACACACATCTACTTTTATGAAGTGGGGTTTCATGTGAGCACAGCAGTCCAACCACACTTCGTCCAAGAAATGTAGAAATAGAGCCCAAATGTCCAAACACAGTGCTGGGAAAG